TTGGGGGTCTTGATGTATTTAGTGTATTTTATGGGGTCTAACACAGCAACGATTATTTACCATATTGCAGTAAAAATCAATGCAAAGATAAAACATTTATTACCACATTGGTAGAATTAAGTAAATTAAGTATAAATTATTTAATTATTTTCATTGGGGTGGAAAAAAGATGGATAGAAAATGCTCCGTGTAAGAACAGTAAGAACTAAAACTACCTGCCAAGTAGGGTCCCACGGTAGCTCCGACTCCTTTGCTCAAACGCATTGTCATGAATAACGTATAGATATTCTCTCCGTCCATGATTTCATTGTTGACAGCATAATACCCGGCAAGGTATGGACCAAGAAAAAAACCCGAGACTACAAAATTGGTTAATGCTTTAATAAGAGTAACTGCCACCTCTATAATTTGGTTTTAAACTGATTCTCAAACTATCTTAACAAGGGTAGTCATGCAGTGTGCATTACCGACTGATTTCTGACTGACATATTGAAATACATACTTATGTCAGCAATGTTTTGCTTGCTTGTGTCTTATAAGTGTGCATTACCGACTGATTTCTGACTGACATATTGAAATACATACTTATGTCAGCAATGTTTTGCTTGCTTGTGTCTTATAAGAAGATATAAAGAAGACTTTTTTAAAATCCCATCTTTAAAAATACATATTTCGATGCATATGTAATACTAAAGCTAATTATGGAGGTCGAACATCAAGTGTAAAAAAGTACCCACCAGCACAATATACATATACAGCAGTCAAAGATGTCGAATATGCTGCTATAATATTATTCACAGTGAGCACCGTAGCCGCCACAAGGTTCACCACAATAATATATCCCTTCACATAATCCCCAACCAATGAGGCAAACGCCTGTCCAATCGCACCTACGGTCCCAAATACTGATATAACTTTCACTGCGTCGGCTTCCTTATAACCAAGGTCTATCAAATGTTTTGGCTGAAGAAAATAAACCATTACGAAAGAAGTGATATGTATAACAAAAAATGCAACTGAAATAAAGTTAAAACACTGTATGGTGTCATCTAATTTTGACTTTACAAGAAAAAAATATCTTACTATTCGAGAAGTATAAAACTTTTACTTCATATACTTTACTCGACAATAATAACTTTCATATTAACAATATGTTATTGTGAGTGTTTGAACCTTTGCGTCTTCCTTTGACATCCAGCTTTCTTTAATTGTCAAACAATTGAAAAATTGCGCAAAATACATATAACATATTAATCTGCTGTTATCTGCTTGGTGGGAAGTACGAACTACATGTATTTTTATCTTCTGCTCTCGACTGATCACTATTTAACTTTTTGTTAGTCACCAATCTCCCAAAATTTAATGTTCTTTATTTCACGTACGTTACAGTTCATGCGACAAAACCAGTTAAAACATGGCACACCAGTTTCGAAAACCGTTGGAAAAATAACTGAGTTTTAAATTAGAGCGTTTTCGATTAATACCTTTCATATTTTGAGACACTTCCCTGGTTAGAATGAATTGGTGCATCGTTGTTGTGTTGCTGTTTGATTTTAAATCATTACACGTCTTTGCATGCTATAGTAATGATATAACATGATCGGTGCATATGCAAATTAGAATATGCGACCAAAACTACTTTAAGATGCTTAACATACAATAGTAATTTTGTATACTTACTAATATAACCATTGGTATGAAATAAGCAATTCCTTTACAGCACATTGCTATTGACCAAATTCCATGAGTAACGACTTTAGAACGCACAGACCATGGCGGTTTCTGAATATTCGGTGACCTGAAAGACCGTTATTTGTATTTAAAATGCAACAACAGCTATCATTTTCGTATCCTTATATACCACACATGATCTCTTCATGGTCAACAAGTTCATATTCTCAAAATATGGAAACTGTATTGGAATATTTTTGTTTTTAACCAAGGCCCCCTTTACACCCACCTGTGACATTTGTGCCCCCTTTCTGCTAATTTAAATGTGCAACCAGGACGATCAATGGAGGTGACGGACAATGTTTTTGTAATTTTTAAGGTGCTGTTTATGAGACCTTGAAGAGACATTAAAGTAAATAATGTTGCATTTCCTGGAATATGGAAACAAAGGCTGTGGCCGCATTCAAAACAGTGGACTAACTAGTCCGAGGGTCAAATATGGCGACCCACCAAAAAGTTAGCCGTCTAGTCCGCTAATAGACACTGAATAGATCCCCCTTGGAGAAATATTCAAGTGGGTCGGTCACATTTGACCCGCAGACTAGTTAGTCCACTGTTCTGAATGCAGCATATGACTTGATTATTAACATCAAGATAAACCTACTTTTCATTTGGCATAGTTTCCTGCTGTTCGGACGACACTATTGGGGGATTACCGAATACCGCAAGAAGAAGTGAACCCATAGAGCTAAAAACCGCAGCACAAAGTCGAAATGCCCAGCGCCATCCTAGTGAGGGGTCGGCGCACATGTTAGCAACGACAGCATTTACTACTGTTATACCTAAAATTACAATTAAGAACAAGTGCAACATAAAATCATCAAAGGTAAATCTGAAAATAAAATGATTTAAATGACGAATTAAAGGACTATTTGAATACAAGTTTAGGATTAAAATGTACAGATAGGGAGATGCTTAAGCTGCAGCATTTTCTTTTGTGGTTATGTCACCATACTTACCAAGGGGATCCATTGCAGACAACACACTCGTTGAGAAAACATGAAACCGGTGAGACCATGGAAACCAAAGTGCTATCACTATATACGTGCAAACTGTTAAAACCCCAATGCCACTTCCCGAAAGAATACCAAAAGATACAGCCACAAATTGGGGACTATCGGCAAAAGACGTCAGAAACAGTCCCAGCACCATAAGGGATACTCCAAGAGCTGTAAATTGCCGAAGGCTCAACTGTCCATATTTAAACAGTGCCATGTAGATAAGGTTACTGAGGGATAATTTAAACGCTAGGAACACTGATAGCGGGGCCCCTGTAAAATAATAAAAAATAATGTGTACAACAGTACGACATAATACATACGCTAAACAGCAGCTCAGATTTACATGTATATTAGCATTAAATTATTTCGTTACCTTACGTTAGTCTCGGCAGCTATGATGGGGCCCTCCTCCATACCTGGTACCTGTCTTATCTAAGATAATCGACGGATTTTTACGGTCTTGCTCTAATAACGTTAACTCCTATTATGAAACCATTGAGGTTAAAAAATATAATGTAAGCAACTTCAATGTGGGTAGCGAGTATATTCGATAACAAAGGGCAGAGCGATGCTTGATGGAAATTGGAGCTGCCATTTACGAAGATTGCATTTTTCTTTTTGTGTAGTTAGCGTTATGAATTGTGCACAAATTACATACGGTGACGTAACCTTCATATAATTTGGAAAGGGTCTATGGAGACTCCTCAGTAATTTGCTACTTATAACCAGCCACTTAGATTTAGTAGGAATCATTATAACTAGCAGATACGCCCAACGACATTGATAATATACATTAATTAGATCAGAGAGAGAGAGAGACTTTAACAAAGATACTAAAGGTGTATATTGTAATTTGATGAACGCAAAGATGAACCCTTACCTAGCAATGCGAGAGTCGACTGTGGAAAATCTTCATCCTGCTGAAAACACAAAATTGTTGTCCCCCACGCACCTTCTATTCCCTTTTGAGTCATAAATAGAATTACAGCAATCCCCAGCACAACCCAGCCTCTGTAGATACCAGGGGATATCATTACCGGGTGCTGAGGTGTCTGCTATGATGTTATATTTCCGAAGTAAGTACACAGATACAGCCAGTTATGTATTGGTGAATGTAAATAAAAGCATTTGTCCATGAACTGAGCATCAACCCACGAAGACAGCCTGCACCTTAAAGTATTGACCGCTGCATTTTTTCCTACATGTAGACATGGGCGTCTGATCGCTTGAATATCAACGGTTTTCTTTCAGTCTTTCAGCTTGAAAATACTTAGTGAACTTATAAGATGAACACTATTGCCTAATCTAAATAAATGCTTCTGGCAAGAGGAGGGCTCAAAACCAGTTTTAGTGTAAAGTAGAACCCCTCAAAACCAGTTTTAGGGTGAGGTAGAACTACAGTGTATTGCGACAATAGGTTATCCGACACTGCTTTGATGGATCCACTCATGTATTCCTCTGTTTTTTTTTTTTGTTTTTTTTTGGAAGTGGGTCATAAAGTACGTAAAATAACTTGACAAATAAAACACACCAAGTGTGACTGAAATGTGACATGCCATACAGGTACAAAATATATCTGTGTATAAACAGAGCCGAGGTTAGAGTAACCCATTTAAAGCTGAGTGAAAGATACATTTGAGAACAAAGAAAGAGCATTATAGTTGATCTCACCTTAAAGCTGTAGGGTCATCTACAAAGTTCATGCATTTCTCCGTTATATTCAGCAACACTTTTCACCCTATTGACACTGTACACTTAATTCATACATGATAACGCCACAAGAAAAGGGTGGCACAGGGTCTTCTGTGCCATAGCTCTTTATAACTGTCCATTTAGATCTAGTAACGTTCAGTAAAACTAGCTTAGATGCATGGGTGCCCATGACTCACCTATTTAAAGGGATAATAACTCTTCGTATGAGATCTATATTTCACAATAAAAACATTGTGAATAACTCATAGAAATAGAATACTCTATATTCTGTTTTACCACAAAAACGGCAGTTATAGCTATTATTCTGAGCGCGGGAAACGTGTTTGTCACTCTCAACATTGGTCAGTGTTATTCTGGCCATGGGCTTCACAGCACCTATACCGGCTGGATGACCAGGATGACAATCATAGTGGAGAAAGTTCACGCCGAATGTGGCTATCTTAGGATATGCTGAACACTTACTGACCAACGGATTATTTCTTTATTCTTATACCCCTGACACACGTTTTGTGACATGAAATAAGCTATCATTTTTCTAAGCAAATTGGCTCCTTCCCACTGTATGTACATGTAGTGTGCACTGACGTTAACAGTATATGTGGCAAAGATATGGAATGGTAATGCATAAAACTACATGCATATAGGTTATATGTTCGTGTGTGGTGATACGAGATCGTATGTGTAGACGCACAAAACCCGGTGGTTGGGAATGTCAAAGTGAAAATCAAATTAAATGTCTATTTGGATAAGACCTGTAATTCATAGATGCATTTTCTGTTTTCAAATCCAACATTTTAGTCACATTCATTGCTATCGTTCATCAATCAAGACTTCAAATATCTCCACTTCTTGTTGCATATGAGTAAAAACGTTGCCAAAATAAACATGCCAAAACATGACGCAATGGACAGGAACACTGCCTGGTAGCTGCCTGTGACGTCACGGATATGTCCTGTAGAAAAAAACGCAGGAGTATAAGAACTTTTAACTTTTAAAAAATGCCATAGAATACAACGCCGGGATATCATCACATTTGATTTCGTCATATATACAGAGCTGATAATCGTTACGATTCTACTGGGGCAGTGGTCATATATATTTATTTAGTGTTACTGTAAGAAAAAAAGATAAAGTATTGGTTGTCATATGATGGTGGAAACAAATATCTGTTTTCAATATATTTAATGCAATACTAAGAACAGTCATGTTTTTACTTCTTGTCCTTGAAAATTACACCAAATGTAATGGTCAATATATTAAGTGTTTTCTTGATATATTTTATGGAGTCTAGCACAACAACAATTATTTCCCATGCAGTAAAAATTATTACAAAGGTAAATCATTTATTACCACATTGGTAAATGAATAAATTAAGTAAAATTATTTAATTATTTTCATTGCGGTGGAAAATAACAAAATGGAGATGGATAGAAAATGCACCATGCAGGAAAAGTAAGAACTAAAACTACCTGCCAAGTAGGGTCCCACGGTAGCTCCGACTCCTTTGCTCAAACGCATTGTCAAGAATAACGTATAGATATTCTCTCCGTCCATGATTTCATTGTTGACAGCATAATACCCGGCAAGGTATGGACCAAGAAAAAACCCCGAGACTACAAAATTAGTTAATGCTTTAATAAGAATAACAGCCACCTCTATAATTTGGTTTTTAACTGAATCTCAAATTATCTTAACAAGGGAAGTCATGCAATGTGCATTTCCGACTGGTTTCTGACTTACATATTGAAATATATACTTATGTCAACAATGTTTTCTTTGTTTGTGTCTTATAAGAAGACATGAAGAAGATTTTTTAAAAATCGCATCTTTGAAAATACATATTTCGATGTTATATATATATATATATATATATATATATATATATATATATATATATATATATATATATATATATATAAAG